ACATTTTCCCGCAGGTTTGGGAATTTTAATAAAATTTTTATTTTTGATTCAACACCGTTCACGCCATTTAAAGAGAACGTTTTTGTGTGGATTTTACTGAAAAACATGGATTAAAGGCACAAAAATGTAAATGTTCAGTTACCACGGACTCTTAAGCTAAGGAAATAACTAATCTTTGGCGGCCATTTTCTCACTAATTTTACCTCTGAAAACAAGTGACCCCCACCTCCTTCTTTCGCAAATATCTCGACTTGTACTCAAGATAAATGGATATTTTTTTCATCCAAATAAAGACAAGTGAACAAGCTTTAAGATGATACCAATAACTCTACATGCCCAAAAATTGACGAGAGCCTGCCTCACAAATGATTAGAGAGATTGAAAGAAAGGAGAAAATGGTGTGATACTTTCAGATATGTCTCTGAAATTGTCATCATCGTTATTATTATTACCATAAAGCGCCATATTCAAAACAGACATCAGTAATCATAGTTTGATATCTATTTGTGAGGTGATAAAATGATTTATCGCAATCCAAGAATGGAGATATCGACCAAAAATCGACACTGGGGTCAGATTAATAGATAAATAGATAACTGACGCTATTTTCTTTAAGTCTAACATGTCTTTTAGTATTCCATACTAACAAACTGTACCAACTTCACCTACAAAGTTGATGTATCAATTTCCATTAAGCAGAAATCCGAGAAGTAACTCATTTTGTCAGCACACCTCACATTTCTTGGCTCAGGTGTCATAAATAACATAACATACCTGATCATTTGGGCCACCCACGTGGCTTTCCAGCGCAGACACCATGGACTGTTTGAACTTTTTCAATCTGGCCCAGTGTTGACAAGCTTTCTGGAGATGGCGTCTGAAAAAACCCCCAACCCCAGCAGAGAAAGCTAATGATTTCTGAACCTGGTCTTTATTAGAAAAAAGGTGAAAGTTGAAAGTTCTGTTTCAGGCCTGGCGCTCATATGACCGTAAAACCTCACTAAAACTAAAAAGTTTCCGGCTCCTTATGAAGGACATTGTATTAGCCTTGGCAAAGGTATTTTATCCCATCTTCCTCAAAAGTTCAAAGTTGCAGATTAGTACTATGTACTAAGTAAAGAATCAACATGACGTGAACATGCTGCAACACTGTACATCATCCCCTTTGAGGAAAAGAGAGGCTAAAGTGAAATAAATAGGGTTAGAAAATTATTTGCAAACATTCCATCAAAGGGGACATGCAACAACAAATAAAACCCCCACTATATCGCCATCTTTAATATCTTAAATGAATGGCTATTGCACATTAAAATCCAACAATTATACTAACAATGAAATTGTCAAATAATGCAAAAAAAATAAAAATAAAAAAATAAAATAAAGCAACAAATTGTATAACTAAACAAACTGAACATTATATTTCTTTAACATATTACTCAAAACTGGTATTCAAATGTGTTAATCCTATTGCTACATTGGGACAACTTTTTAAAACTATAATTATATTTAATCATAGTTTGCACAGGTCACCATTTAATGTCCCTGGAAATATTTGCCAGTCTTACCTTAATGCTTCACCTCCTTCTTTTGAAATGATGTTCAGCAGAGCCCATTCAACAGCAGCATCAGAACTCCTGATAAACAATAAAAAAGGGAAAGTTTTGCTTGCAGATTCATCTTTCCAGTCGATGAAAAATTCCAAATTATACAATACATTACCAACACCTTGTGGTTACAGATAAACGTGAAGGAAACAAGACACACAGAGAGAGAAGAGAAAGTCAAAAATATGGAAAACTAGCTGGACCCCTTTCGATGAAAGGAATGATCGCTGCATTAACATCAACTGAAAGCCATTGTTCTACTATATTTACACTCTACTGGAATGGAGGAAAATTTTTTGCCAGATGCAAAAAATTAGAAGGTCTAGATAAAGAGATATATCAATTGATTCTCTATTCTGCTTTCATCAGTGCGCACGGCTAGTGAACAGAAATCTCGCTGGTTTACCAAGGCGTCTTAGAAGACGGACTTTCCCCAGGATTAGATCTAAACGGAGCTATTGAAAAACTGAATATTAAACTACAGTGATTTTAGGCTCCTCAATAAAACTGTGCACCCTTTAAATGATTCTGAACCACCGTTAATTTTTGTCAAATTCGAAAGTTAAGTGGTTGGGAAGTTTTAAGCGGCCAATGTGAGGAACTATCACAAATATAATATGTATAGATATCATCGAAAATAGCCCCAAGGCAAATTAAGGACCAGACAGGTACAGGACAAGTGGGGGAAAAAAATGGTGTTAAAAGTTACCACGTCTCAGTGGGCAGCCTCCGTTATTTATTTCCACCAAAAGAGAGACAACTGTGCTCAACAGCTACTTATGTCATTAGCGCATCATGTCAAAGAAACGCCAACCCATTAACAACCCAATTGAACTACCAACCACACAAGTCATCATCATCATCATCATCAAAACCCGGCAAACCTAAGTTTTAACCCTTTGCCATCATATTTTAGTTTAGTTTTAGTAGAGGTTTCACGGCGCTCGCAACTGCATAAGGTCACATGAGCGCCAGAAGATTTGAGGTGTTACAAGAGAGTAACAAACATAAAAAAGAAAAAGGGGAGATAAGGACAATAGATGTTTGATAGAAAAGAAGAAGCAAACCACACCAGAGTACCCGCCAACCACCCACCATCATATTTTGGGGAAAATCCAAAGAAACTGGGTGGTAAACATCGCCAATCGGTGAGAGAAGGCGGCAAAGTGTCAAGTACCGCAATTCCGCTCACCTATTTCGTGTCTGAATCTTCTGTAGGATTGTCTCCTCCAGCACATCAAAGCACTTCTCCTGAACAGACGTCTCTTTGTCCATCACTTGTGGCATGAGGCCAAACACCCAGGCTCTGGTGGAAGGGGAAATATCAATAAACACTTTTAGTTTTAGTTGAGGTTTTACGGCACTTGCAACACAATAAGGTCATGTAAGTGCCGAAGATTAGAGGTGTTACAAGAGAGTAACAAACACAAAAAATAAGGAGGGGGAGATAAAGACGATAGATGTTTGATAGAAAAGAAGAAGCAAACCACACAAGAGCACCCGCCAGCGACCCACGATTAACACTTTTGCTGCCCGCTCTATACTTCTAAGAACACACACAGGCTCTTTGTTTTAGTAGAGTTTTTACGGCGCTCGCAACTGCATAAGGTCATATGAGCGCCAAGGGGTGGATGTCAACAGAGAAGTCCTTACAGGGAATCAGACTTACTCTGCTCACCTCTCTAGCAATAAGGAAAAGCATAAAGCCTGCTTCGACTATCAAGGCACCCCAGAAATAGCTGATCACAAGAGTGTGACAAACATACAAAAGAAGAGGAAAAATGACGATAGTAAGGATTAGGAAAGAAAAAGCAGCAGTTCCCTGTTGCAGTTCAGGCACAGTTATGAGCGTGACATTGACGAATCATCCTATTTACAATTACAATTCTACTGTGCACAAGAACTCGAGATGTTAATGCATACGAGACCCCCTATTCCTAGCAGGTACTTATACACAAACAAGGAACAACCTACTTCTGGAAATTGGCGTCCGTCGGGAAAGCCTCCAGCAGCTCTGCCAGACATTGCACCGCCTGCTTCCTCACAGAGAGGGCCGGGTCTCGGCAGCGTGACCGCAACACGTCCAGGTCCTGGGTTCGAGTTTGAGGAAAGAAACAAATCAACACAAATACGGCCAGGGTTTTTTTTGGGTACATTATGAGTAAGTAAGCGCTTTACGGCACTTGCAACACAATTAGGTCATATAAGTGCCGAAGATTAGTGGTGTTACAAGAGAGTAACAAACACAAAAAAGAAGGAGGTGAGAGAAAGTCGATAGATGTTTGATAGCAAAGAAGAAGCAAACCACACCAGAGCACCCGCCAACCACCCACTACAAGAGAGTAACAAACACAAAAAAGGAGGGGAGATAAAGACAATAGACGTTTCATAGGAAAGAAAAAGCAATCCACACCAGAGCACCCGCCAACCACCCACGGAGGAAAAGAGGAGGTGGTCGTTTACACGTTTACGGGGCTCGCAACTGCATAAGGACATATGAGCGCCAAGGGGTGGGTGTCAACAGAGAAGTCTTTACAGGGAATCAGACTTAGACTGCTCACCTCTCTAGCTTCAACAGCACAAGGTCTGCTTCGACTATCAAGGCACCCCAAAATAGCAGGTCACAAGAGAGTGACAAACATACAAAAGAAGTAGAGGAAAATGACAATGGTAAGGATCAGGAAAGAAAAAGCAGCAGTTCCCTGTTGTAGATCAGGCACAGTTATGAGCGTGACATGAGTCAGCCCATTTACAATTCTACTATGCTTGAACAAGAAATGTCCCCCCTTTGGGAATGGCCTAAAGACACTTCAGTCAGTGGCACTGCCCCAGTGGGTTGAAAATTCTGTGACCAGTATCGCTTTTGTGCACAGCTTTTAAACATGCACATGTGCCATCAGTACCAGACACAAAGCAAAGACCAATACTACGGTAGAAACAGCATCATCTGTTGTGATGAAAAAGAAAAAAAAACAACCCGAGCAGACTATTCACAAGAAATAAACTGACAGACGCAAAATTTTTCTGAAACATTTCACTCACCTCGGATCGATAATCTGGCACTTCAAACTGAATGACCCGCTGCAACGCTTGGAGGGCAAATTTTCTCACCACCACTTTGGAATCCTGCGCGCGTCGTCGAAACATGGAGACGACACCCTCTGGATCAGGCAAATCTGGGGAACGTCCCAATGTTTCAGGTTTGTTTTAGTAAGAGTTTTACGGCGCTCGCAACTGAATAAGGTCATATGGGCGCGCGAGAATGGTTGGTTCTGTTCACAACAGTACACTGCAGAGCTCGATTCTGGTCTACACCTCTTTTTAAAGGTTAAAATACAAAAAATTTAATGTAAATAAACTAATTTAAAAAAACTTTCTAAATAATATTACATTTTTTGAAAACAGATCTTGCAATTTTTTGCATCTAAAATATTTCCTTCGGGTTTCTACGAAGTATAGACATTCTGTTAAAATGTGTCTAATGGGAGTTTCAGGTTTGAACAGACAAAATGATCAAAACTCTAAAACAAACAATACCTAGTTCTCTGAATCTTACACCAATCATACTTTTTATTTGCTGCGTGTCCTTTTCCAAAAGTATAAACATGTATTATAGATCTAGTCATATATGGTTTACTAAAAGACAGCATTTATTATTACATTCAATTATTCTTCTCGTTCATCTCTAAATGAACATCCTTGTCTCTAGTGCGATAAGATGCTGTCCACAGCAGGTCCTCCAGGCTCCCATAGAGTTTTGGGTCTCTCTGCCTAGGGTTGGGCAAATATTTCGTTCTAAATGCCATTCAATAATTCAAATGACTTCAAAATTCCTTGTGAATCATTTTTTTCTCCTCAAATTTTTGAAATTACTTTAAATAATAACTCAGAAGTGGCCTGAACGCGGGACTATCTGGACATTTGGCAGCCTGGAAGAAGTAGGAACAGACCACATCTCAACACCTGTCAATCTTCCACAAAAATCTCCCACACATATGATCACACATATGATGACACAAACCTCCCACACATATGACCACACAAACCTCCCACCATATGATCACACAAACCTCCCACACATATGATCACAAAAATCCCCCACACATATGATTACACAAACCTCCCACACATATGACCACACAAACCTCCCACCATATGATTACACAAACCTCCCACACATGATCACACAAATCTCCCACACATATTATCACACAAATCTCCCACACATATGATGACACAAATCTCCCACACAAATGATCACACAAACCTCCCACACATATGATCACACAAAATCTCCCACACAAATGATAGCACAAGCACACGCCTGTGTACCCAAAAACTCACAGGGATTGAAGCCGGGGGTGAGCTCCATGTTACAGAAAGACCTGAGAACACAGGCTTGGGGGGTGCCGTCGTCCGCACCACCAGGGGGCGCCACAGCCGCAACGTCGTCGTTCCTGTCGCTTGTTTGCGCACTCTGCGCTTCTGTTTCATTGGCCAGTTGCTCAGAGGAGGTGCCATCGGGAGCCTGCTGAGGACGCTCACCTCCTTCATCACCAACAGCACCATCTGCATTGTTGGAGTCTTCTGTAACACAATAATTTTAAAAAACCCAAAAAACAACTTAATAATAATAATAATAATAATAATTTTAAAAATACTAACAACCATAGATTTTTTGTAATAAATTTGGTGTGACTGTAATGCCTCGAATCAACCCAACAAACTTCTTGAATTTTACCATCAAGGACAACACAGACTACAGAGGGAGTTGAACTAACATCCTGTATGCGCATGGTAAAGAGCTGAACCATAACACCACCTTATAAGTTTTGGATGCAAGGCAGTGGGGAAAAGGGGAAAAAAAAAAAGAAGATTTTTAACACCCCAATCCACACAGTTTTTATCATTTAGGAGGTAGGCTTCTAATCCTGCCTGTCAGGGCCAACCCAGGCTGAGAGGGATACAACATTCCAGCAGAAAGACACAAAAAATTAAGAGAAAAATTCACCCAACTCAGGAATCAAACTGAAGTCTCCTGCACGCAGCAGCAAAGTTCCTAACTGCTACACCACAGACACCGGTGTGGTGAAAAGTACTCTTATATACCAGTACCACATAACAGTGCAAAAACAGGATCCCATCAGTCTTACCGGTGCCACCTTTAATGGAAAGAAATGGAGTTGGTACAAATTGCTTTGCCGTCGGTCTGTTGGAGGCAGCGATCGGTGTGATGACTTCCTTTACAGTGCGAACGATGTCTGTGTGCTTTGAGGTGGTGCAGGCAGAAAACCCAGCCAGGGCTCTCGATCTGATGCTGAAGAAGGAAGTGAAGATAAACAACATTTCAGCGCGGATATTGAAGAAGAAAGTGACGATAAACATTTTAGTAAGGATGTAGAGGAGGAAAGTGATAATAAATATTTTAGTAAGGAGGTAGGGGAATAACGTGAAGATAAACATTTTAGCATGACTGTTGAGGAAGAAAGTGAAAATAAAAAGCATTTTAGAAAGGATCTAGAGGAAGAAATTGAATATAACATTTTAGCAAGGATCTTGAGAAAGAACGTGAAGATAACATTTTAGCAAGGATCTTGAAGAAGAAACTGAGGATAACATTTTAGAAAGGATCTTGAGGAAGAAACTGAAGATAACATTTTAGAAAGGATCTTGAAGAAGAAACTGAAGATAACATTTTAGCAAGGATCTTGAGAAAAAACGTGAAGATTAACAACATATTAGCTAGGAAATAACACGACCAATTTTTTATGCTGAGGAAGAAAGCGAAACAGAACAATCTATTAGCAAAGAAACAACGCCACCAATTTTCTGATGATGAGGAAGACAGCGAAACAGAACAACATATCAAAGTAACAAGGAAAGAAAACCCACCAACTTTCTTAAACGATTTTTTAAGTTACTGTAAAACTATCTCTTTTTAAACTACTGTAAAACAATCTCTTTCTAAACTACTGTAAAACAATCTCTTTTTAAACTACTGTAAAACTATCTCTTTTTAAACTACTGTAAAACAATCTCTTTCTAAACTACTGTAAAACTATCTCTTCTTAAACTACTGTAAAACTATCTCTTTTTAAACTACTGTTAAACAATCTCTTTCTAAACTACTGTAAAACAATCTCTTTTTAAACTACTGTAAAACTATCTCTTTTTAAACTACTGTAAAACTATCTCTTTTTAAACTACTGTAAAACTATCTCTTCTTAAACTACTGTAAAACAATCTCTTTTTAAACTACTGTAAAACAATCTCTTTTTAAACTACTGTAAAACTATCTCTTTCTAAACTACTGTAAAACAATCTCTTTCTAAACTACTGTAAAACAATGTCTTTTTAAACTACTGTAAAACAATCTCTTTTTAAACTACTGTAAAAGTATCTCTTTTTAAACTACTGTAAAACTATCTCTTCTTAAACTACTGTAAAACAATCTCTTCTTAAACTACTGTAAAACTATCTCTTTTTAAACTACTGTAAAACTATCTCTTCTTAAACTACTGTAAAACTATCTCTTTTTAAACTACTGTAAAACTATCTCTTTCTAAACTACTGTTAAACAATCTCTTTCTAAACTACTGTAAAACAATCTCTTTTTAAACTACTGTAAAACAATCTCTTTCTAAACTACTGTTAAACAATCTCTTTCTAAACTACTGTAAAACAATCTCTTTTTAAACTACTGTAAAACAATCTCTTTTTAAACTATTGTAAAACAGTCTCCTGTAAAACAATCTCTTTTTAAACTATTGTAAAACAATCTCTTTTTAAACTATTGTAAAACAATCTCTAACGACAAAAGCGTTCAAAGAATAAACCCCACCTGGCATTTATGTCAGAACATCGACTCAGCATAATGCATATCATGCTCTTGTGAGAGGCAAATTCTGCCATTTCAGCAGGTACGTCAGCTGGAAAAAGAGTGTAAAATTCTAATTGAAGCCATGACATTGCACAAGCAAACTACTACGTTCACATGGACCGACTTCTGACATAAGTAGCCTACTCAAAAAAATGCAGCTTGAGAGTTTTCCAGATTTACCATTCCAATGTAATGGCTTCACGTGTCAAATCAGCAAAATAGCCCATTACATAACAATGCCTCTTCTCCTGTCACCATCAGCTGTACACCACATAAAATCCCCCGGCCCAGCAGTAAAAGAAATCAGGTTTTTTTCCAGTTTTAGTAAGTGTTTTACAGCACTTGCAACATAATAAGGTCATACAAGTGCCGAAGATTAGAGGTGTTACAAGAGAGTAACAAACCCAAAAAAGAAGAAGGGGAGATAAAGACGATAGATGTCAGATAAGAAAAAAAGAAGCAAACAACACCAGAGCACCCGCCAACCACACACAAAAGAAATCAGAGCCAGCCGTTTTCCTACTGTGACATAACACACAGAATACATACAATTGTCGAACACAACAATTTAAATGAACGCCCCCCCCCCCCCCCCAAAAAAAAAAAGAAAAAAAAAAGAACCACCCATTCATTGCACTAAGAAAGTAACAAAAAGGTTCGCTGCACACAGGCTGGAGGTGCAAACTCTCCAGTGATGGGAGGAGTACATTTGAAACAAACACCTGCACTCAAAATGTTTGTAGAGGGGTTATAAAGTATTAATCCTTTGTTAATTAATGTACTTATTTATTTTGAGGACTGTCTCTCCCCTATATCCTTCTTTCTGTCCTATCTTCTTTACTCTACAGTAGAGGTAGGCAAAATCCGGATAACCAGACAATCCTCAATAAGTGCATTATCCGAATTCAGACTCTTAACTCTCTTTCCTGACCCGTTTGCCAAAGTGGGTGCACCCATTTGTTGAAGTGAAGCTAACCCATTTGTCGAAGTGGTTCTAACCCATTTGCAGAATTAGCTCATAACATAGTACTTACCGAAGAGGTGCACTGACATATTATCCGGATTTTACTAAAGCGACTCATTGCCCAGCCCTACTCTACAGCTGGGCCAAGAAACAGCTTTCAGACTGATCTGCTTGTGCCCAGCAGTGCCAAAAACTCATCCAAAAACAAAATCAAAAGCAATCCGTAACCATCACAATACAGTGTAACGTTCACATTACCGTCGAACCCGCTCCTATGACCACCTGTATACTATAAGACAATCACCTGTACAAAGTGCTCTACTTCTTATCACCTCTCCCTCTCCTCCCTGGGTTTTTTTTTTTTACATCATAATGACACTTTTTTTTTAGAGCATCGGAGCAAAGGAATGAATGGAGAACCATGATCGCCGATGTCTGTCGCAGATCTGGCACTGGATGATGATGATGAATGACACTGTGAGAGATGTCTACCTGTCTAAGTGTGAGACTTTTTCTCCTTACAATGGGAGGCCGTCTACGGTAATTTCAACTGTACTTTTTTAGCTGTAAATTCAATAATAACACAACACGCCTGTTTGTGAACTGTTCAAGACACACAACGACTTACCTGACATTCTCCTCTCTGGAAGATCTAGCAAGAGGCTCATCACATCCAGGATAAAACTTCTCTGACATACCTAGGGGGGGGGGGGGGGGGGGGGGGGGGGGAGAAGGGGGAGAAGAAGCTCATCATTGGGGAAATTTGAGATGCTTATAGATTATAGTTTCCTCATATATATTCCTTCTCATCTTCCAAATTTATGTAATAACTTCATATCAACCAAATTCTACTCATATCTTTAAAATTAATGTCACACCTGCCTATTTTTAATTACGACCTCACAAACTGCAGATTTCATACCTACCAACATTCATTCCAAGTTCACAAATTCATTTCATTCATTCAAATTTTTTTTTTAAATTTTAAAGTAGAGGTTTTAATTTACGGCGCTCGCAACTGTTTCTAAAAGTAGAAGGCGGCGCTTACCCGAAAGCAAAATGGTTCCTACCTTTTTGTGCTTGGACAATCGCTTGAGCAACTGCAGCATGGAGGCGTAGTCTGCGTCCGGTAGACACTCCAGCAAGTCGCAGACAGACTGAGAGAAGGTAAGAGAAGAATCATGAAACCAGAAGGCCAGGCTTTTGAGTAATCGTGTGTTCACTGTTAATGGTGAATGAATGGAGCATTTTGGGTGAGGGGAGGGGGGAGGGAAGAAAGAGTGGGGAGAGGAGAAAGAGGGAGAGGGAGAGTGTGACGGATGCATATGGCCTGACATTATAAAGAGATTAATACTTGAAAAGAAGACGAAAACACACAACCGCTTTATTGCCTGTGTGCCGGTGAATCGATTTTATTGTTGTTTATTTTGCACTGAAATCTCATGCGAATTCAAAAAGAGACAAAATGTGACGTATCAAGGAGGGGAAATAATTGTGATATTAAAGAACCGTTATTTCAACATTCGCAAAATAGTTCATTCTCATTTTACATTTCATAACGTCAGTCATACATTACAGAGAAGAAGAGGGAGGGAGAGAGAGGGAAGGAGAGGGAAGGAGAGGGGGGGGGGAAGGGGAGAGGGAGGGGGGGGGAAGGGGAGAAGGAGGGAGGATGGTTGAGAGAGAGAGAGAGAGAGAGAGAGAGAGAGAGAGAGAGAGAGAGAGAGAGAGAGAGAGAGAGAGAGAGAGAGAGAGAGACTGAGTAGACAGAACTTTGTAATTCTAAGGTAGCGAAATAAAAGAAAGAGGAGAGATAAATACGACAGACAAGACATTTGATAGAAGAGAAGGAGGCAGACACCCACCTGGGCAGCATAGGATCTGTACTCCGACTTGTCTGGCACTCTGAAGGCAATTCGCTGAATCAGCGTCTTTACTGTAGTGAGGTACCTCTCCCCTATCTCTAACAATAGGTGTCTGAGTGGGGGGGTGGAGGGGGAGAAAAGAGAAATCAACAAACAGTACAGTTTCCAAGTAGGCAAGTCATAAATATAGTCTGAATAGAGACTGCAAACAAGATTGAAGACACACAACCATTAATTGAGATAAGCAGCCAGTTAATATAACTGTGCATCCTTTAAATGATTCTGAACCACACCTTTAATATTTTCAAATTCGAAAGTTAAGTAAGTGGTTCAGAAGTTTTAATCAACCAAAGTGACAAACTTTCACAAATATAATATATAGAACAGATAGGTGGTCAGTGGGGTGTGTCCTTGAGAAAGACACGGCAACCCTAGCTCAAAATACAGGGCGCTGCACAGTGGCATGTTTGTAAACTGTTTTGTATTTGTGTAATATCGTGTGTTTATGTATGTATTTATGCATGTATTAAAGTATGTCCGTATTTATAATTATGTATTTATGTATGTAAATGTATGTTTGCCATTGTAAAACAAAGTGCCCTTGCGGGACAAATAAAAAGTGTAATTTATTTTATTTATATTATAATTATTATTATATTATTATTATTATTATCATTAATATCATCATGATCATCAGTCATTCCTCCCAGCCCCACTGCACAGTCACTCACTTGACAAAGTTCAGGGCTTGCTGCCTCATGCGCAGCACGGACACCACAAGGTTAGGGAACAGCTTGCCGTCCTCAATCATCAGGACGTGTCCTAGCAACAATTTGGTCACCTGAGAAAGAGAACACAAATGCTAACAGGTTCCCACCCAACAAAATCCTGAACTTTTCAATGCCTGTGAGAAACGCACACACCAGAACTCAAAATTTTAAATAAAGACCATGTCTTAATTTTAATAAGAATTTTACGGCACTTGCAACACAATTAAGTCGTGATATTATAAAAGAGCAACTTGCAAAGAAAAAAAGGAGGACAGATAAAGACGATTGATAGGAGAGAAGGAGCAAACCCGACCAGAGCACCTGCCAGCTACCAACTCATGTTGTCTAATGCACCTTGTATCAATAATATTATGAAATAATGGGAAAAATAAGGACAATTTCAGAAACCAACAACAAAATTCGAATAACTTTAGTTCTAACACTTTTTTGTGCAACAAGGAATGACCTCCTATTCACCAAACATGTTCAACCATGCAGAATCTCTTTTACAGCAAAACTTACATTTGTTTACAAACGCTGAAAGGTAAACTGTATACTATAGTAAGTTCACAATTTGCAAGCATCACACTAAGAAGGAAATTGCAAGCCTATTTTTTGTTTTAGTAGAGGTTTCACGGCGCTTGCAACTGCATTAGGTCATATAAGCGCCAGAAGATTAGAGGTGTTACAGGAGAGTAACAAACATAAAAAAGAAGGAGGGGAGATAAGGACGATAGATGTTTGACAGGAAAGAAGGAGCAAACCACACCGGAGCAAACCACACCAGAGCACCCGCCAACCACCCACCAAGCCTGTTTCTTCTGGATATGTGTGCGACCACCAAAACAAGAAAAGTTCATTGAAAAATATTTTGATGTTTTAGTTTTAGTAAGAGTTTTACGGCACTTGCAACACAATAACGTCATATAAGCGCCAGAAGATTAGAGGTGTTACAAGAGAGTAACAAACACAAAAAAGAAGGAGGGGAGATAAAGACGACAGACGTTTGATAGGAATGAAGAAACAAACCACACCAGAGCACCCGCCAACCACCCACAAATATTTTGAACATACAGATTTTGGTAACAGAATCAAAAACATGAAATAATCATCACTCTCATTGACACAACAACAGAAGACTTACATCAGTCGACAGAGCAGACACGTGGCCATGAAACGGCTGGCACAACAACGACATGGCCTTGTACGCCAGCGTGGTCGTACCACACCGAGGACTGTCCCTGCGAACAATTGAAAAAATCGTGTTTGTTTGTTTTAGCAAAGTTTTAGTAAGAGTTTTGCGGCACTCGCAACACAGTAAGGTCATATAAGTGCCGAAGATTAGAGGTGTTACAAGCGAGTAACAAACACAAATAAGAAGGAGGGGAGATAAAGACGATATATGTTTGATAGGAAAGAAGAAGCAAACCACACCAAAGCACCCGCCAACCACCAACATGGTCTAATTAGCCACCCGCATCACTCTCATCACAGGACAAAGAAACGTAGACAAATACATGTACAGTGCAAACATGACCATTTGTGACAACAGAACAATTCCAGCTGCTGGACCCACACCCACACCAAAGAGCCCACCAACCACCAACAAAGACAAGAAGAAGCGATGGAAAAAAAAATTTGTAAGTACCAGTTGCCCATTTCCACGGGAGCAGATTCTGGTTCCATGCGTGTCAAGGTCACCAGGACAGCCAACAGCTGAGTAGCGGTGGACTCAGACTGGCGTAGTGAAAACTTCTCACAGATCAGCAACACGTCCTGGGGAGAGATCAGAAAAAATAACAGACGTCAACACAAATTTTGCAGCATTAGGCTTAATACTTGTTTTACGCTAATTCAAGGTCACAGATTTCAAAAATGGCATCAGTTTTTGAATGCATATTACACCCAGTTTTAGTTTGACGGAAAAGTGGCCTATTTTCAAACCAATATACGGCAAAATTCAGGATTTTTCAAACAGCATAGCCTGTCGTTTGAAATTTAACCTCGCTTTGAAGAACTAGATTTCCTTGTTGATCTATCAAATATGTGACTTTTCATCCATACTAATTAGCTGATCAACAGTAGTTACATATCACTGAATTAATAAAACTTCTGTCTGCACCTCTTGCACTACATTTTCGGACACAATATATGAGAAACTTTCTGATCTTTACATTTTCATATATCTCTCCCATTAAGCATGCATTTTCCCACTTTACAATTTTTCAGTCAAGTGATAAACCAACTTCAATCAGATATCATTTGTAAGCTCCAAAATTCAATCACACAATTCTTTATGCTTCCCTCCCGGCAGCACAAGAGCAGGAATATAAAAAGAGAGTAGAGACTCTTTTGAAAAAGTATTAAAGTAAAATTCTAAAAAATGGCCATAGAATTTAGGGAGAAAATGTAAAACAATTAAACATTTGGAGCCCTCAAGATAAAAAGAATACTTTGCTTTAAAAAAGCACATGATGGGAACAGTATCAGAGTCACTGACTTACTTGCAGCAGATTATGTGTTTGAAAAGACACCTCTTTGTATGTAAAATCAAAAAGCATTCCTTCAGTTTAAATCAGGCTTGATTTTACAAACAAGTCCCTCTCCCTCTTAACATGATGTAGAATTTAAAAAAAAAGAAAACAAGATAAAGTACGCGTACCAAACCCACAAAGAAAATTCACGATGACACACAAAATTGGGGAAACTACCTGTAAAAGCTGTGCGTACACCAGGTCTAATCTCCGGACTTCCTCCGTCGTCAGTTCCACAGAGTCATCATGGTCCTCGTCTAAGTCTTGACTGTCAAACAGCTGGCGAAGGAAGAACAAGAAGGAGTACAAATGCTGATTAAAAAAACACAACCAAAAAAAACCCGTAGCTGAACAAAAGTGAAAAATAATCACAAATTGATAGTCTATAAAGCTTAATATTATACTTCTTTTTTTTTTTTTTTTGGTGGGTTGCAAATTTTTATCAAATGAGGATGGCTGAATCAATAATTATGAGAAGGAAGAGTTTCTTTTTTTAAAAGGATCAACTTCTTTGACTGTGAAAACTGACACAAGGTGGTGTTAACTGAAAGAAGTACACCTAAGTTTATAATAATGAAGGATAAGGTGCGAATACAAATCAATGGACAGCAATAGCTAGTGAGGAACAGACGGACAGGGGCAGAGAATGAGGCTCTGCGCTCCTACATAATAGCTGTGAAGCCCGTAGAGCATGCTGTAAAGCATGGATAGACCAGACCATCAATGATTTATTTATAGAGGCACCAGCCATCCATGTCCAGGTGCTGTTTTAGCCTTTTTTTCCTGTATTCGGATTAATAATATCTTTTTGCCAATTTATTGGTTCCGCTTCTATGCACCCCATATCTATGGTTCTCAACCTGGAAATCGCCTATAATTTGCTGTAATTGCCTCCCCCCCCCCTCATAGTGTCATCATTTATGTTACCGTCTATTTTTATCGATAACACGTTTATGGATTAAGGGCAGTATTAATGATAATTAAGAAAAAAACAAAAAAAACAACAATTAAATGATAAATAAATAAATAAATACATACATAAATAATAAAGCATGGATATGAACTACATGAATGCAATTATTAATGTAATAATAATTAACATCATTATTACATTATGGCAACTTGGCAGCTTCTTGAATAAGGAAACTATCGTGACCCATACAACTTACCTCAATAGAGGACTGATCAGAGTTTCTCTTCGCTCGTTTACGACCTTTCCCTCTCTGAGACTTCTGACTCTGCTTCACGGGGGATTTGTTCTTCTTTCTCTTCCCACCACCTCCCAAATCTGCGGAAAAAAAAAAAAAATAAAATAACCCCAAACAAAACAACATAAATGAATACTACAGACAGCAAATGTTACCAAGACCAAAGGATGCAATGAATAAATGTCGCTGTAAACAATTAAAAAGGTCCAAATAGCGAAACATTATGAAAACTGTTTCAGGCATGTCATTGTCAAAATCAGGGAATGTAACTATCTCAAACTGTCAAGATTATTTTCAGATATAAAGGTTTTCAAATAAACAGTGAAGGTTTTCAAATAAACAGTGATTGAAAAAAAGGTGAAATCGTATGGGTTTAATGCCCCTATCAACACTATTAGGTTATTTAAGGGGCGAGACCTCCTAGTTTAACATCCGTCTCCAATAGGACAGACAGTGATTTGCAGAGCCTGCATTAAATAAAACAAAAAGTGAGATAAAACTCCATACCAAATATATGTACACAGCTTAGTTAGGAACATACCAGTTTTGTTCCATTTGTTTAACAGACGACAGGCTTGAAGAAACAGCTCAGGGTTATACATCTGGAACGCTGAGCTACCTGAAATATGAACACAGAAATACAAATTACAACATTATAGAATAAAATGTCATTCATGTACTGTTTTAAAGCATAACAGTTGTAAAACAAATTATGTACTTTTAATTTTTTAAATAAAGAGAATATGCTGGCCTTGATGAAAAAAAAAGGTGAATCATTCTTGTGCACTGTTCATTTCTACATTATTCTAAACTATAAAACTTACCAGGTAAAGCTATCAGCTTCAGATACACAGAGGCAGAAAGAATGCCGGCAATACGCTCACTGCAACTCACAGACACCTGAATCAAAAGTCACAAAACACACGAGATCAACGACTAGAGCATTGCCTAGACATAAAGTATACAATAATGAGCGACAGTGGTCGACGTGGACATCAACAACTTAACGGCGAATCAAATATTAACAACCAGAGCATCACTGGGTCAAAAACAGAAATACAACAACGAAGAAAGGTAAGAGTCACGGTTTAAAACAACTGATTCGTTGGATCAACAACTTTACAACAACAAAAATAACAGCAACAACCAAAGATAAGATTTAAAGGGTTTTAGTTTAGTTTTAGTAGAGGTTTTACGGCGCTCGCAACTGCATAAGGTCGTATGAGCGCCAGAAGATTAGAGGTGTTACAAGAGAGTATCAAACACAAAAAAGGAGGAGAGACAAGGACGATAGATGTTTGAAAGGAAAGAAGGAGCAAACCACACCAGAGCACCCGCCAACCACCCATGATTTAAAGGGTGAAAACTAGAGCATCACCAAATGAATAGCAACAACAGTGATAAAGTATTTGATCACATTTTAAGGGTTTTAGTTTTTTTAGTAAAAGCTTTACGGCACTCACACCACATTTATTTCATACAAGTGCTGAAGATGTTACTTTAAGTAAGAGTTTTACGGCACTTGCAACAAAATAAGGTCATATAAGTGCTGAAGATGAGAGGCGTAACAAGACAATAACAAACGCAAAAAAGGAGAGGTAAGGACGATAGACGTTTGACAGGACAGGAGTCAAAGTGTGAGGATCAGTAGATCATTGAACCAAATAATGACAACAGCTAAAACCAATGATATTGACAAAATAAAGTTAGGATGTAAAAAGTCGAAGGTTTCTTTCCCCTCACCTGTCCTGCACGAAATGTCATATAAGCCAAAAGGGCAACCAAATTCTTGTGAGGTATCTCATTCTCCACCAGAACACTCCAAAGACCTGACAAATAATACAGAGACATAAATACCTGTAATGAAAACTTAGCAAAAAAACAACCATATGTTATTGAAAAATTAATGATGTGCTCAGTTTTAAAGTTAGGAAAAAAAATAATTTAAAGTTTAAACATTCTTCTCTCTCCTGCCCTCTTGTTTACGTAGATGTAGTTTTTCGTTCTTAAGGCAAATTGAATTCACAATTAGACCTTATTACCTGTAAAGGACTATCACATACATCTATTATGCATGATCATACAACCTATGTAATCAGGCTTAGGACATGAATAGTATAGTTGAAGTATGTAAGTGACATTATGTAATCAATACCGATACAAACCAAATAGACCAGTCCATTAAACATATTTGTTTATCAACTTATTCTACAAGTATTTGGGGGGAACACCCCGGAGTAGTCAGTCCCTTCTTTTCAGAGAGCGACTAATGTCCAAGTCTGGCCGCCATGAAAAGTCAACATTATAACAACTCTGTGAGAAATTGTAATGCCAAAATAACAAGATCATGAGATGTATACTGAACTTTACGACAGATGAAATTTATCATTGGTGAGACAGACAGCACACACTGACTAGCCAGGGACAGACGAACAAGGGCACAGAATGAGGCTCTGTGCCCCGACACTGTAGAAACTTTGTTGTCACTGGAATTATATTATTAGGAAAGTATTGAGACAGGCTACCTTCTCCATTGTCATTCTGGTTGTCCAGCTGCAGCCAAGCACTGACGACTTCTCTCACGGTGTCAAGCTGATCAATGAAATAGTCATTTTCCACCAGAGTCCCCTCAGCGGCGACGGGGAGAGAGCTCAGGTCCACAAAATCCTGCTCCCACACGGTCTGTACCCAATCTATATAAAATGGGATGATAATAATATTAAACATAGAGAATATTGAAATTTAATTACGGTCAAAATTGTCAAAGACAGCCACCAATCATTGGGGAAAAGTGTGGCTGCATTAGAAATGTGGCCATCTTACACAGTGTCATTGTAAAGTTTTAAAAAACACATGGGGGGGGGGGGGGGGGGGGGGTGAGGAGGGGAAGTGGTCAATTGTACAGGTGAAATTGTCTCAGACTTAGAGGTGGCCATTACTCATTACAGCAGGCTTGACTGTCGTATTTTAAATGTTTGAACATTCGTTTTTAATATATATGAGATCCTCCACCCTCCAAAAAAGGGCTCTACATTAGTTGTAAAAAAGAGCAGACAAACCAGCCACTGAAAAGAGTCTCATGAGCCAGTTGACAGTTTTCCAGGGTAGTCAAATCAAAATTTACAATAACTTTGAAAGAGCAATGCTTCATCAGCACTGGGCCTAACTTTAGCCGGTATTCTTTTACTTTCCCTCCCGTCTAACATTTACCTACTAGTTGTCCATTTTCTACTTTATATCGATGCGCTGAACACAAACATCAACTTCATTTCCGTTGCAAATGAAAAGCTTTTTAAATATTTGATGCTTTTAATCAAGCTATATCACACTTAGCCTAACTGCGTAGTTAAGTAATTTACGCGCTTTGGACCAATAGGGGAAGGCTCTCCTGAAGAAAAAAATATTCTGGGGGGGGGGCAGTTAAAAAAAAACCCCCCATAATTTGATATTTTGCAGTTAGATTTGAAATTTTCTTTAAAATAATTGATTTGCCACAGTTTTAGTGGCCACAGAAAACAATAGTACTGCAGTTTAACCCCCAAAGCAGTGCATCTCTGTGTTCGGGAGTGAAAGTAAAAATTTACCCCTTAGCCATAGCACCACCTTATAACCTGCACACTTTGCGAAGGAGTAGCAGTAGAAAGGCTGCAGAAAGAGTCAGGAGCCCAGAGGAGGGGGCAAAGGAGGTGAGGGGGTGGGGGCAAAAAGCAGACGACAGAGCATTGCTGGAGAGCAGGAAAGGGGGTGAAAGGAGACAATTTTAAAGAAGAAATTTTTTGGTCGCTACCCGGATTCGAACCCGGGACCTTTGAAAGAGAGGGGGCAGGGGGGGCAAAAAGTTGGAGATGAAAGCAAACGACAGAACGTGGTTGAGCAGGAAAGGAGGTGAAAGGAGAACATTTTAGGGAAGAAAATTTTTTGTCACACTGTCAGGTTTTAACCCAAGACCTCTATCCTATTGAATGAGAGGCAAACACCATAACCTCAAGTCTACGCTAAACCATGAGAGCCCCCCCACCTAGATTAATTAAACGAAGTGACTATTTCTCAGAACGCTCTGGAAAATAAACTTTCACTTGACCTCTATTTCTCCAAACTGTTTCTGTTCTCGAGATATTTTGGTTATTTTCACTTCAGAGAGTTCGGCCTCATCTTTCATTCTGTGAGGACTGGCAAGAAGCATTTTTTGCATCGAATGCAATTTTTTAGTGCTAGAGATTTTTAGATGTCTGAATTATATTCAGATGCTTCAACTGCGGTTGGAGCAACGTTCCAGGACCTTCATTGTAATTGCCTTCAAATGGTACCCTGCGAGAAAATATGACTGCTCGACTTTGGCCCTATTTTGCTTAGTTACCCTTAAAGCAAACTAAATCACAAAAAAATCCCTCCACGCCCCCAAGCTCACCCCGTTCACACCTTACACACACAAGCGGATAATTAGAGAAAGTCATATGTATGTCATTGGCCAACATTTATAGGAACAGCCATTTGGTTTGACGTCATTTGATTCCCACTTTGACTTTGTTGTCAGTCCTGAGTCATGGTCATGGTGGCAACACGATTGCACGACGGCAGCCTGCCGTCTCGGACTACAGTACATTTATTCCGCACAGGGTGTGTGTGAATACTATGAAATTTTATTCGCACAGGGTGTGTGAATACTATGAAATTTTATTCACACAGGGTGTGTCAGTGTGAATACTATGACTATGAAGAAATCATGTTATTCACACAGGGTGTGTGAATACTATGAAATTATATTCGCACAGGCACAGGGTGCGGGAATACTACAAAATATTATTGGCATAGGGCATTTCAAAAGAAGAACGGAAATTAGGCCTCTTCTTTATTGTGTTTGATGGGGCATCATAATCATGGGGTGGTCGCTCGTTACGGAAGTCCTTCCGACCTGAGCATGATTGAGACTGAACCTAAGTTAAAGCCTATCAAGTCAATCAAGTATTGAATACTAACATGTTTTCTTATTAATAATAAGATCTAGATTCTAGGTCTAGATCTAGATCTAGAGTGAATGAAGTTGAAGGCGAAGAATTAGAAGGCAGTAATTTGTAAAAGAGAAGGCCTCTGACTGTGGCGAAGAAGACCTCGACTCCTTTTTAAATTTCAAAATCAGTGGAATGGGGGTGTCTAAAGGAACAACCTCAGCTAAGCCAGGCTTATGGTTATTTTCATTCGTCCCTATAAACTCATCATTTGGAAGGATATAAATTCATTACCATTAGGAAGGGTTCGAAGTAAAAGGGCATCAAATGCCGATAGTGTTCGACCAACATCCGCCATGTTTATAGTTGGCGCCTTGTTTGTTGTCAAAATAATGTCAACCAACATTCGACTTCCGGCCTTCGGCTTTCTTCCTCCAGCGTGGCTAACATACTTCGCATTGTCAATATTATCAGAATTACATTATTAGTATCATAATACATGTTGTGTTTTCCTGCTATACCTTCTTTCTATATAAGGCTTTATCTAAAAAGGTCATGGTTACCGAAATAGGTTTATGACCCAGCCCCCCCCCTCAAGTCATTTAATTGCTGAATATAATATTATATCTTGATGAACACTGATGACAATTCTAAATTCAGTCTAGTTCAGGGGGGGGGGGGGGGGGGGGGGGGCAAACTTTTAAGGAACGTGAGTGTGATGCGCGGCGGGGAAGCATGTAGCCGGTTTGGTTGAGGTTTTTCGTCAGTGTCAAGACGGCCTGCTGAAACCAAAACGGCTATAGTTTTAGGTCAGTGCTATGTACATGGCCAGGACACTTTTTCCCCAGCTGTAGATCTAGGTGTCTGTTTTGGACAGTCTAAATTAAAACATATTTCTTTTTTTTTCTTTCAAACTTCATATTTATTGGAGACACATATCATGCTATTTACTATTCATTAAGCAAAGAAAACAAAAATTGAAAATTGTGCATGTGACGATCTGGCTACATGCAGAAAGGCAAATTTTTACAGGAAGGACAAAAAAACTGATTATTGTTAAAACGCGCAGCGTAATCTTACATGTTTATGTACAAAAGTTTAAGTTATAAGTGCTGGGACCAAATACTCCTTGATTTTTCTTAAATACCACAACCGAGGTGGTAACGCCTCGACCACAACCAATAGTTTTATTTTGCACGTAGCCGAATGACAAAATAGCCTAATATGCAGCACAATGCAGGTGGCCGGTTCTCTGCGCTAAGCCGGTTCGAGCATGACGCTTCCGCGCACAGCCGTGACATGAGGCGTCATGTAGTCGGTTCGGCGCAGCTATGTGCTACTGTTCGCTGTCATTCATTAGCCTAACAATTAGTGTATATCTACCTGGACGACGGCGAGTTATAGGCCTAGTATTTAAACTAATATCTTAACGAAAGCTGACTCGTTAAAACACAATGGTTTAGAATGACAAGTTAAGTGCTTAGACTGACCCTTTCTCAGTAAATTAGTTAACCCTAATGGTTGAGTGTAAGCCTTGTTACTGGGAGGTGTTGGTTCAAACTTTGTTGCCTGTCATTTCATAATGGGGGCTTTATATCTGTAACATTCTAGCAGCTCTCTCGCCTAATATTTGACATTATGCGACCAGTACTAGAAGAAGTCGTTGACCCGGTGCCCAGGAAGATAAGATAAGATAAGATAAGATAGTACTTTATTATCCCAGAGGGAAATTTTCCTTGGCTGTACAGGACCGTAAAAAAATATGCAGGTATACATAAAAAGATTTAAATCATATATATTACTCACATTAAAATTCAATATGAAAGGAGAAGTAAAGCTGACAAAATGTACATATCAAATGCATCATTCAACCACACGCAGGAATTTAAATACTAGACCTTTGGAGTTATATACAGATACATACTCTAAGAGCAACACACATCTATGCTCATTCTGACAAAAGCCTTATGCTAGATGGTATAAAACTTCTTTTTAATGGAAGGCCATTACTGTGAACATATCAAATGGTCTCGGGGTTCTAATCTGGATCGGGGGGTTTATGGGTTCGATTCTAGGCTAAATTAGAATAAAATTTAAAAATTGGTTACTTAATTTGCACCTTATTGTCATGGACATGGTTACAAGACTGTAGTAACATGTATTGTTTGATTGCGCCTTACTGGTAATATGGATGGTAGTCAACTGGCATAATCTGTTACACCGTTAACAAATGTTAGTATTTCTCCGTTTGTCATTTTCCTGGAGCTATTGTAGACAGGCGTTGGGTCAAACTATTCCAAATTTGGTTAGCTTGACCTCTTGGGAGAATTTGGTGGGGCTCACCTCCATGATTCATCTTGTCCGTCACAGAAGAGTGCTCGACTTTCCTTCTGGGTTGGATGGATGCCGGGTCAGAAATGTTGGTATAATCCTTAAAGTCATTGGTGTTACAAAGATTTCACAGGGTACTGATGGGGTTCTTCAACCTCCTAACCCCTAACCCCTAACCCCTAACCCCTAACCCCTAACCCTAACCCTAACCCTAACCCATTCGATACCTCCAATCCTCGATAAATTTTCGATACCTCCAATGCCTGTTCATTAATCGATACCTCTTTGCAGGTCATTATTCGATACTAACATTGCCAGGTATTCGATACTCTTCCTGTCATTAAACGATACCTTCCTGTCACTATTCGATACCTCTCTTCATGCCACTATTCGATACTTCTTTCTGTCACTATTCGATACCTCCCTGTTATTAGTACGTTTTTATTCCATACCGATCTGTCATTTGTACATACCGGCCTTACCCTGTGATTATTTGATATCACGGGAGATCATTATGTGATACATTCCTATCTGTCATTACTCAATACTTTCTAAAGTTCATTACAGTGCATTATTCGATACCTCCTTTCCGGCCATTTATTCATGCCACTTTTGTCAGTACTCGATACGACATTAACTAGTCATTCTTTCGAAGCTTTCAATATCAGTATCCTTTGTACGATATAGTTAACACCGTTAAGATCAAAGATTCGATACCAGCGTGCTTATTATTTGATAAATATTTCACATGCATTCAGTATTAAATAATCCCTAGGTGTCATCATTCGATTCTGGCAAATTTCGCTACGTATATATATGTATAGTAACCAACAAGTCACAATCTTTGGCTGTTATCATTCAATATTAAAGATTATTTTTTATGTTGATTGCTTTTGGTTCATTGATACTAATTTTTTTATTTATGAACTAGCAGAATGCTGCCATAGTGGGGAGCACAAGACGTGAAGTGAAGTGACAAAGGACCACCTATGTCATATACATTTATCAAGTATCTCGATTCATTTATGTAGTCGGTGTACTAACAATTATATTATATTATGATTTTGCTTAAAATATTTTCTCTCTGTCATTTTGTTCATTTTGAAAAATGTGCTTTCCAAGGGCTTACTGAGGTTTGAAACATTTCCTAATATTTCAACATTTAAAAGTTTGGCTAGATTTGTCTTTCACTTATTAAAGCGGCTTTTCTGTTTTTTCTGTTTACTGTTGTTTAACAAGACTTTTTAAGGTAATTGTTTCCCTTACTCAAGCAGTTATTTCGGGTTGCTGTACCCAATTTCATAAAAGAGGACTCCTCTAGTATTGTGACTGAGTGTTCTACCTTCAAAATCATCTGTGTTTTGTCTCTTTTCAATCTTAAACATTTTACTTGGGAGGTAATGTTGTGTTATAAAAAATAAAAAAACTTTTAGGCTAAACGATCAGTTAATGAGACTCATGGAGCAAGGGCTGGAGATGAAGGGAAATGACTGAGGAAATGGCTTTTCAGAGAATACTTTACAAAGATTTATGGAACCTGGAGCCTTTATTCAAGTATTCCATTTATTATTACGTGTGAACTCTTCTTCTCTCCTGCCTATTCTCCGCTGATTTCTCTCTCTCTCTCTCTCTCCCTCTCTCTCTCTCTCTCTCTCTCTCTCTCTCTCTCTCTCTCTCTCTCTCTC